CGACGGTCGCAACGATGGCGACGTTGACGTTCCAAATCGGTTTCAGGACTCCCCTAGGGCGGGGCCCAACTGGGGTCACTCTGCACCCCAGATCGGTGCTTCACGGTCTCGTGGCCAGAGGTGAGCCTCCATATGCCGAATATGCATGACAACAAGACAACACTTCGAACCTCCACGGCGGCGACGGCGGTACTGGGGGGTCAGTCCCTGGGGTGCGGTGCAGCCAGGATTTCGGAAATCGAACTCGGAATCTAGACGCTGGCGACGGCAAGCCGCAGAAACGCGTCTCAAGGCCTTACCCTTCGAACTCCGGTCCTCGATTGACGACGACGATAATCAATTTTTCGTTGACGCTGGCGACGTCGGGAGGCCTACGAGAGCCTCCGAGAGCCTCCGAAAATCTCCGAGAACCTCCGAGACCAACGGAGAACAATCGATGGCCCTCAGATTCGTCCAGAACGAAGGAAGACAACGCCGGAGAAGACGATGACGTTCGCGGTGACGTCTTCGTTGGCGAAAGCGACGAGGACGTTCACGAAGACAACGGCGACGTTCGCATTGACGCGGGCGCACAGGCATACAATACACCGATGCCGGCACTCGACGGGCCCCTCCCGGGGGCGCGCTCTGACCAGCAGCCCGCGCCAGACCCAGGCGTGGCGGCGGGGGCCCGCCAGGAGGCCCAACATGGCGAACACGAGGGAAGGACATCGGCGTCAGAACGTGATGATTGCAGGAGATGGTGAATGGAGAGGAGGCGTGCTGCCAAAGAAACCCCAGATGCCTAAAAGCACGTCTCAAACTTGTTTACCGTGAACAGATAAACTTGAAGCACTTATCGAATCTGTCTTATCCATGTGGAGGACATGTAAGCGACATTTCAATTTCAATGATGGAAGGGTTAGGGTGTCCATTGTCCTGACATCCAAAACGTTTTCCTCCAAAGAGAACGTGGACGACGGCAAGCACAACGGCGAGCGGCGGCGGGGAGCGCTGCCGAGTTGCTCTGTGCGGCCAGCTGCGCCAGCGTGGCGGGGTCGGCTTCGTCTGGCATCACCCACACGGCGTTCAGGCCGCCTGGGGGACCAGGGGGAGGACGAGGTGAACTGGAAAACAACATGGACAAGGAAATGGAAAATCATGTTAACCAGCATGGGCCCCAATCAACAAACTCCTGCTGTGCAATCTTGCGCGGTGCAGTAAATGGGGTGCAGCTTATATGGGTGTGCAATATCGCACCCCCCTAGGGCGTGAGTGGTGTAACGAGCTCCGTCCTGCTAAACCCCATATCCCCAGCAAGGTGAGGTACAGTGAACCCGCATAGTAAAGATGCGCGATAAGGATGCAAGGGCCTTGGAAGGCCATTTCGGAGCTTTCCGAGCGGGGCGCGGCCAACGAAAGTGGCCAAGGATGGACCGATGAGGCAAGGACGCAAGTGTACCCTTTGGCACATTGCCCATCCTTAACTTGCGATTTGACTGCAATACGATAACACAAAACTGTATGAACATATAACTGTCGCAAACCCGCGTCGGGCAGACTCCATCTATCCGCATCCGTCTTCCTCACTCCGACGCAAGGCCAGGGACCCTTGCGGATCGATCCGGATCGAGAGATGCCGCAGAAGGATGTGGTCCAAGGCTCTGGTCGTGCATTCCCGCGATGCTGTTTTTCATCCCCCGCAGCGTAGGATCTCAGGGCCCCCCCTCCCTATCACCCGACGAATACCTGCTTCACAGCATGGGCCCCCCAAAAGTCTCCACCCCTTCACCTTCCACGTTTCCATCCCGAGCAGTTCCTCTTGGACGTCCCGCAGGAGCGGGAGAGGGCCCACACATGCGGAACGTGGTCAGACTTAGGTCGGGAATGTCCTCCTACAGGCGGGTCTTGTAGAACAAATCATAAATAGTCAAAAACGAAAACAAAACAACAAAAAGACGAAAACTAATCAAAAAACAAAAATAGAAAAATCGGCCCCAGACTAGGTCCGTCGCCGCTCCCCCCTTTTCCCTGGGCCCTCGTCCTCAAGCGCGCCAGCCAAGCCGAAATGAAGCAACCCAGCCAAAGCGAAATTAACAACGTTGTCATTGAGTCGAAGGGAAGCTCCTTCCCTTTGATCCCTTCCCCGCCGAAGGGGGGGGAGGGTCCCGGGGGGGGGTCCTGGGGGGGGCCCTGGGTCAGAATATCATGCCCCGCTTGCGGCTTTTACTGAGGGGCCCTCTGTAGATGCGCTCGAGGAGGGGGGGGTCGCCACGACGGATCCGCAAGGGCGCCCCTGGACGGCAGAAGCCACACAATACAGCCCAAGAACGCCTAAGGACGGGCGAAGGGCGCTCCCAGACAGGTCAAAAGAGCCCCAGCGGGGATGCCGCCCAGACATGTTTCCCCCTCGAGCGCCCCCGAAACCATGAAACGCTGTTTCCAAACGACCCCAGAATGCCACAACGCCTCCTCCTCCTCCTCCTTCTCCTCCTCCTCATTCTCCCCCCCTGCTCCCCCTCCTCCTGCTCCTTCTCTGCCTCCTCCTCCTGCTCCTCCTCCTCATCCTTCCCCCCCCCTCCTCCTCCCTCATCCACCTCCTCCACCCTTCCTCTTCCCCCCCCACTCCTCCTCCTCCTCCTCCTCCTCCTCCTCCTCCTCCGCCTCCTACCCCCCCTCTCGTTTTTATATTCGTCGTCTTCAGGGTCGGCGGCACCAGCCGTAAGGCCTTCGCAATAATCATTGCGTAGCCAACAACACAAACAAAGAACGTGTACCAACATCGTCCCCAGACTATGTTTTGACCATGTTTGAACGGCTCTCCTGTCTGGGGGCAGCGGGGCCAACGCAGATCGCGTCGGAGGATCGCGCCGTATCGCCGATGCTTCGGCGTCGTCACGATGGAGAACATCGGGATCCAGATCGAGCCGCATCGCCATACATGAAGGGGCCCCAGGACACACAAATAAATACACACAATTAAAAAGATTCCCATATTTTTGTATATTTTCTGGGTTTCTGCCTTCCCCCCCACTTCCCATATTTTCTGGGAATCGCAGATTAATTGTGTCTGTGTGTTTTTTCCCCTCCTGAATACAGCGGCGACGTGGCGCGATCTGTTCGACCCCACGTCTGCTCGGACCGCGTGCGCTGCCCACCGCCGCCGCCTCGCACCTCCGGAGCACCGACGTCGGAACCCCGGCGCTTCTCCGGGAGGTTCGCGTGGACGCCCACGGCGACACCAGCGCCGAACGCCGGATCAGAACCATGACTTTTGGCATCAAGGTTCCTGAGATTGAGGGGTCTTGGAGTCCGAGGCCTTTCCCAGGGAGCATCTGTACGTCCGGGGCGGTTTTCTGAGACTTCCGACTGGAATAGCGCATCTGGGGCCTGGCTCGGGGGTGTATCCCGAGATCCCCTTCCTGCCTGAGCGGTCAATCGCTGGCGGGGGCGATCTCAGCAGATTGGGGGCGAGGAATCGTCCCGCTCTACGTCCTGCTCCACCCCAGCAATATGGTGCCTTGCTTCTGTTTCAATACGGGGTCCGCGGAAGCTGTTTTTGGTTGTCTGTTGGCCGTCCGTGAGCTTGAAGCTGGCCCCCAGGATAAAAAGACGACAACACACACGCATCAATATGATGGATGTCTGAGCTCGGGGTTCGGGGACCAAATTGATCCCCAGACCAGCCTGAAACTCTCCTGTCGCGCGGTCTGGCCAGTAACTTCGAGGCGGATCTAGCCTTCTGTCGGGCGTGTCCCCCTACAGTAGGATTTTCGACGAAAAAATAAAATAACACCAACATACTCCAAAAAGGTAAAAAAAAAAAAATACTCAAAAAAATCCCCTGACTATGTTTGGACTATTGTTTGACTATTTTTTGGGGCATGTCTTATTCTTCGTCGAAAATCCCCCTGTAGGGGGACAGGCCCGACTTAAATCTAGCCACGGCATTGAGAAGTCTAGCCACGGCGTTGAGAAGCCTCCTGGAGGTCTGAGAATCCGCCACCGTGCCCCTGTGGCACGACGTGGGGCGTCTCCAGGTCCTCTGCTCAATCCCTCCTCCTCCTCCTCCTCCTCCTCCTCCTCCTCCTCCTCCTCCCTGAGCCTCAGACCTTACTCCTGAGGATTTTAAGGTGCCCAGCTCCCCAGCTCTAAAAAATCTCTTGGGCTTGCCGCTTGCTGTTTCGCGACTTCTCGGGCCCAAGAGGGCCCCTGGACGGGCCAAGAGGGCCCCAAGATACCCCCAAGACGCCCAAGATGGCCTCCAACCGGCAGAAAAATTGCCCAAGACGTCTGGAGAGGCTCCAAGAGTATTGCCAAAAGGGCCCCAATGTGTAATTTTGGGGTTCTCCTGTTTTTGAGCTTCCGACGCTCCATGACGTCGCAGGAGGTCCTCAAGACCGCCCCAAGACGGCCCCAGAGGCTCCTGAGAGGGCCCCAAGACGGCCCAAGAGGGCCCAAGAGTCGGGGGCGCGCAAACATGGATTGGCGATCCATGGATTTGGCGTGCGGTCGCCAAATCCATGGATCGGGGGAGGTGCCCTCCCCCAAATGCGGCCGGTGCCGCCTCGCTCGGCGGCGGGAATCCGTGATTTCCCATGGAAGCGGGACCCGTCGACAGCCTGAGCCTTCCACCCCGAGAGGCGCCCGGGATGCCCCAAGAGCACCAAAGAAGAGGCGCACGCGAGGCCCCAAGAGGAGCTCCAGGAGGCCCCCCAAAATTGACCCAGGACAGCTCCCCCCAGAGGTCGTAGAACTGCCTCTCCAGGAGGCCCTTAGAGGCCTCGACGAGATCCCAACGAACATCCAAGAGGCCTCAGACTCACAACCCAAGCACGGTTGCACGGTTTCCCGCGGGACCGTAGGCGACCCGAGGAGGAGTAGGAGGCGGAGGTGGTGGAGGAGGGGGAGGTAGAGGAGGGAGAGGGGGAGGAAGAGGTGGAGGAGGATGAGATGATGGAGGAGGAGGAGGAGGAGGAGGAGGAGGAGGAGGAGGAGGAGGAAGAGGAGGAGGAGGAGGAGGAGGAAGAGGAGGAAGAGGGGGAGGGGGAGGAGGAGGACGGGTCGCCTAAGCCCTTCAGAGGAACCCTCCAGGTACGGTGGCGGGGTGGGCCGAGTGCTATAGAAAACCCAAACTCGATCCTCGAACTTCCACCCTCGACCGATCGTTCGGCCGGGTATAGATCTCAACCTCGGACCTGGGCTTGGGCCTTGGGGCCATAACCTGGACCTCCAGCAACCGTTCGGGACGATCTGGGCACCCACGGAACGGTCTCGGGGAGGCGCAGCTGTTGGAAGGCATTCCGCGGCTGGAAGAGCCTCCGGGAGCACGAACACCTTCTGAACACCTCGATCCTCGAAGTTGGTGCCCGTCACCGGCGCCCCCCCAACGAGGGCGCAAGGCTAGAGGCCACCTAGTTGGGGCCGGAGTAGATGGGGTCGGAGGATCGCGCCACATCGCCGACACATCGGCGATACTTCGGCGATGCATCGGCGATGCATCGGCGATGCACTGGCAATGCATCGTCGACGAGGGCGATGCATCGGCGACGTCGACGTGAATCCAATCGGGCTCCACATCTAGCCGCATCGCCGATGCATCGTCGATACGGCTCGATCCTCCGACCCCATCTGTCACTGCACCAACCTTGCAGACGTGCTGCAACGAATTTTTGCGTGGATATCTGCCAATGCAAAACCTCGAAACGGCAAGCGGAAATCAACATTAATTTCACGTGGAATGTTTGCAGTCTTCATTCCTGGCAGAAAACAACCACACGAAATTCTCTTCGAAATCCGGAGCGGAATTCTCCATGACAGCCCGGGCATATCCCACTGTTTTCCCAGCGAGCTCCGCTCTGCGACGTCGGCGTCATGACATCTGCTCCGACCCTATCTGGGATGCCTAACTATTCTGGCATGGTGCAGGCCCGGGGGGGGGGGCTCCTGTCGGGGACGCCTGCGACACGCCGTACGCGGCGCCGTTGGGGCCGTTGGCGAGCACCTGAGTCGGACGTGCGCGCGGCAGGGCGCCGGCCCCGCGGGTCTGCGCGCCGGAGGCCCCTGGAGGCCGAA